AGTTACGATCTTCTTACTATAGCAAAAACAATTGGTGGTTAAAGTCTGAGCGCCAAAGCAAAAGTCACAGTTGCGTAAACCGAATTTTCGTATGCCGTTTGTGGAGCAGCGGAAGCTACATAAAGTTTTAGTAGATCGTACGCTGCGGATAGTGAGACCAGCGGGCGCAAATCAACAACACCGAAACAACCAAACCACATCAACACCGAAAGAAATCCCAAATACCGTTGAGAATAATACAGGAAACTCTGGGCTAAAATGGGACACGGAAGTGGTAAGCGATCCTGGCGGTGTGGAGTGGACAACTCGCCACTTTCCCCGGAAATGAATCAAGCGGGTCTGACTCACTACGAAAATTGATAGTCTATAAAATATTCCCATTTTTGATGGAGCATAGGCAGCATAAGTTTGTGATATTGGACCTCTTGGTATTTTGATGTCAAAATGCAGTGTGTTCTATAGACCAGTCAGGATTTGCATAGCCGATTTTGTACAATCTAAATAATTATTAACCTTATCTGAGCTTGTTGATTTATTTGTTTCAATCCTACCGAAACATGCCTTATTAGATGCCCTTGGCTCCAAGTGACCATAATTGACAATAGGCATCAATTTTTTATGGGACCGACTTGAAATGACTCCAAGTGACTAGAAGGGATTATTATTGATAATTATGTGATTTTTTTATGTGCTTACTTTATGAACGGCTTCAAGTAGCTTTTGTTGGCTATTAGCATCTTCTTTGGCCATATTGACCTTAAAAGGCTGCCAATAGCTATTGATGAGATAATTGACAATTACCCATTTCGGCGTTGGTGAATGCACATGGTTTCAACTGGCTATTATTGGCTATCAGCCTCCACTTTTATATATATTTGACAGATATGGCTACAAATATTAATGAGTAATGAAAACTGAGCTATTCCTGTTTATTAACTGGAATGACTTCAGGTGGCTATTGTTGGCAATTAGAATATATTTCTGACCAGATTGGCTCAATGGCTACTAATGGCTGCTAGTCAGTATAATAGCAATTATCTGCTGTCTGAGTGTTTATGAACGAGAATGGCTTCAAGTGGTTATTATTGGCTATATGCACCTATTTCCGAATAGATTGGCTGCAAATGGCTACAAACCGCTATTAGTAGATAACTATTGCTTGAGCTATTTTTATATTTACGAAATGGAATGGCTTCAAGTGGATAATGTTGGTTATTTGTAATTATTCTTGACCAGATTGAATTGAAATGGCTGCTGATGGATATTCATGAGATCATTAAACGATTACATGCTATTTCGGTTCTTAAAAATGAGTATGCTACAAGCGGCTATTATTGGATTATGAATCAAATTTTACATAAATTTGATTGAAATGGCTACAAATGGCTATTAGTGCCTAGTGTTGATATTTATGGGTGTTTTACTGTTTACTAACTGGAATGACTTAAGGGGCTATTGTTGGCTATTAGCATCTTCTGACCAGATTGGCTTCAAATGGCTAGCAATGGCTATTTGTAAGTATAATTGACAATTACGGGCTATTTCAGTGCTTATGGATGAAAATGGCCACAAGTGGCTATTACTGGCTATAAACATTGATTTTTATTGCAATGGCTTAATTTGGCTACAAGTGGCTGTTAATGACTACTGTTGATAGTTATGAGTGATTTTTGTGTTCACCAACTGGGCTGGCTTTAAGTGGCTATTGTTGGCTCTTATCATATATTTCTGACCAGATTGGCTTCAAATGGCTTGCAATGGCTATTAGTGAGTATAATTGACAATTATGTGCTATTTCAGTGGTTTTGGTTGAAACTGGCTACAGTTGGCTATTACTGGCTATAAGCATGTAGATTGGCTTAAAATTGCTACAAATGGGTAGTAGTGACTAGTGCTCATACTTATAAGCAGGTTTTATGTTTACTAAATGGAATGGCTTTTAGTGGCTATTGTTGGCTATTAGCATCCATTCCTGGCAACATTTGCCTCAAATGGCTTGCAATGGCTATTAGAGAGTATAATTGACAATTATGTGCTATTTCAGTGTTTATGGGAGAAACTGGCTTCAGGTGGCTACTATTGACTATAAGCATTTATTCTTTATCGAATTGGCTTGAAATAGCTACAATTGGCTATTAGTGGCTAGTCTTGATAGTTATGAGCAATTTTAGTGTTTACTAACCGGACTTGCGTTTAGTAGCTGTTGCTGTCTACTATCATTCATTTTTAACCAGTTTGGCTTCAATGGGCTAGCAATGGCTATAGCGAGTATAACTGTGGATATTTATGAATAGCCATTCAATGGATATTTGTGAATAGCCATGCATAGCCATTTAATAGATATTCACGAATAGCCATTCATAGCCATTTGAAGCCGTTCTGGTAAAAAATGATGGTAATAGCCAAAACTAGCCACATGAAGCCATTTCGGTTTGTACACAAAGACATACCTGCTAACTATAAATACTTGTCAATTTAAGCCATTTGTAGCCAATTCAAGCCACCGAGGTCAGGAACAGACGATTATAGCCAATAATAGCCAATCCAAGCAACCAAGTCAAGAATATATGCATATAGCCAATATTATCCAGTTGAAGTCATTCAAATCTATACACACTCCAATTGCATAAATTGTAAATAATAGTTGCTGATAGCCATGTATAGCCATTTCAAGCCAATCTAGTAAAAATAGATACTAATAGCCAATAATAGCCATTTGAAGTCATTTTCAGTCATAATCACTGAAATAGCGTAAAATTGTCAACTATATCCACGAATAGCCATTTGAAGCCAGTCTGGTAAAAAATATATGGTAACAGCCAAAACTAGCCACATGAAGCCATTTCAGTTTGTAGACAAAGAAATAGCTGCTAATTATAAATACTTGTCACATTAAGCCATTTGTAGCCAATTCAAGCTGCTCAGGTCAGGAACAGATGATTATAGCCAATAATAGCCAATCCAAGCCAATTAAGTCAAGAATAGATGCATATAGCCAATATTATCCAGTTGAAGGCATTCAAATCTGTACACACTCCAATATCATAAATTGTAAATAATAATTGCTGGTAGCCATGTAGAGCCATTTCACACCAATCTAGTAAAAATAGATACTAATAGCCAATAATAGCCATTTGAAGTCAGTTTCAGCCATAATCACTGAAATAGCATAGAATTGTCAACTATATCCACGAATAGCCATTTGAAGCCCGTGTGGTAAAAAATATGTGGTAATAGCCAAAACTAGCCGCATGAAGCCATTTCAGTTTGTAGACAAAGAAATAGCTGCCAATTATAAATGCTAATCACAGTAAGCCATTTGTAGCCAATTCAAGCCGGCCAGGGCAAGAACAGATTATTATAGCTTATATTAGCCAATCCAAGCCAACCAAGTCAAGAATAGATGCCTATAGCCAATACTATCCAGTTGAAGTCATTCAAATCTATACACACTCCAATTGCCTAAATTGCCAATAATAGTCGCTAATAGACATGCATATTCATTTCAAGCCAATTTGGCCAAAAACTGCCCATAGCCAATAATAGTAGACACTTGAATCCATTCATATTCAAAACATCCTGAATACTATGTCACTAAATGTCACTAATGTTCATTCTGAAGCGATTTAATGTGATTTTGTTAAGATGATATGCAATTGCTAACAATAGCCACTTGAAGCCATGTTTATTCATAAGTATAGAATAGCAGAATATTGCGACCAATAAGCACTAATAGCCATTTTCTGGCAATTCGAGCCAAACAGGGCAATAACAGATGCGTATAGCCAATGATAGTCATTGGAAGCCAACTCAGCCTGCATTAAAATCAAATAAGTCGAAATAGTGGCTGATCATTATTGATAGTCACTAGAAATCATTTGGACCCAAATCCGCCATATAATTTATAAACATAATATAGCCAATAATAGCCAAATGAAGCCAAATCAGTCTGCACACAATCAGGTAAGTCGAAATAGTGACTAATAGCCATTGAAAGTCTCTAGAAGTCATTTGGACCCCGAATTGCCGTATAAATAAAAAATATGATTGTATAGCCAATAGTAGCCATTGGATGCCAACTGAGCCTGCATAAAATTAAAGGTCGAATTAGTGACTGATAGTGATTGATAGTCATTAGAAGTCATTGGACCCCAAGCCCACCTTATAATTTATAAACATAGTCATATAGCCAATAATAGCCATATTAGGCCAACTCGGTCTGCACACAATCAGGTAAGTCGAAATAGTGGCTAACAGCCATTGATAGTCACTAGAAGTTATTTGAACCACGAACCTGCCATATAAATAAAAAAAATATTGTATAGCCAATAATAGCCATTGGAAGTCAACTCAGCCCGCACACAATTAAATAACTCAAAATTGTGACCAATAGTCATTACTGGTCAGTATAAGTCATTTGAACTCCGAATCTGCCATATAATTTATAAATATAATCATATAGTCAATAATAGCCATATGAAGCCAACTCAGTCTTCACACAATCAAATAACTCGAAATAGGGACTGATAATCGTGGACAATATCGAGAAGTCATTTGGACCCTAAATCTTCCATATAATTATAAATATGAATGTATAGCCAATATAGCCATCGGAAGCCAACTCAGTCTGCACACAACAAATAAGTTGAAAAAGTGACCGTTAATGATTGATAGTCACTGAAGTAATTTGGACCCCAATCTGCCATATAATTTATAAACATGATCACATAGCCGATAATAGCCATATGAAGCCAGCTCAGTCTGCACACAATGAAATAACTCAAAATAGTGGCCAAAAGTCATTAAAAGTAACTAGAAGTCATTTGAACTACATATCTATCCTGTCAAATTTTGATCAAAAAGCCGAAATTAGCCATTGAAAGCCAACTCAGGCCGCGCGCAATCAAATATCTCAAAACAGTTATAAATAGTCATTGATTGTCATTTTGTGTGATTGCTGGCGTCGGTTAATGTTGTTGCTGCTTTCTGGGGACATTGAATCGAACCCAGGACCATTAACAATGGAACAGAAGTTAGAAAAGATTTTGGAAAATCAGGGCCAGATGAGTAAGGATCTTCAAGAAGTTAAAAGTGGTCAAGCAAATCTTAGGCAAGAAATGCATAATATTCACGGAAAAATTAATAAACTGGAAAATGCAATGTCAAATATTCAGAGCGAAATGGTGAAAGTTGATAGTCTAAAGGAAGTCGTTGCAGACCTAGAACAGACAGTCAGACAGCAAAGTGAAAAGCTAATTGACCTAGAAAATAGAGGAAGGCGAAATAATCTACTTATATTTGGCTTACCCGAAAAACACAACGAAAGCACTGAGGAACTGAAGCGAACCGTAACGAAAGATGTCTTCCTGGAGACTCTCGGCATCACAGTAACTTCGATTGAGCGAATTCACAGACTTGGACGTAAGCGCGAGGAAACGAATAGACCGGTAATCATAAAGTTCTTCGACTACAACGAGATAGAGGAAATATTTAAAAACTGTAGAAAAATAAAAGGAACTAAGCTCAGTATCAGTAGTGACTACGCAAAAGAAACAGTGCAAGTAAGAAAACTATTATGGGGAAGCGCGGCATCGAACAGAGCAAAGGGCGATAAGGTATCACTTGTACATGACAAGCTGAAGATTAATGGTGAAACATTTGTGTGGGATCTTAATCTAAACCAGCGACGTCGTGTTCAACCCAGTGGGGCAGCCTACAACTGACGCGATGCAAGGGCGGCTGAAAACGATCCACCTGAATTGAGAGTTATTAGCCTAAACGCCCGAAGTGTGGTTAATAAAATTGAAGCTCTAGAAATTTTGTTTCTTGCCCACAGTCCCCATGTGGTAGCTATTACAGAAACATGGCTAAACTCCAATATAGAAAGCGATTGCATTGTTCCCCCCAATTATAAATTAGTTAGGTGTGATAGAACTACCAGAGGCGGGGGTGTGGCTATTTGTTTGAGAAATGACATTGATTGTGTGGTGCTTGAATGCGACTGTGATGAAACTGTTTGGTGCCGAATTTCTTATTACAGTCGAACGTTCCTTTTCGGAGTGGTTTATAGAACGCCAAACGCACCAGTAGAATTTTTGGAGGGCTTGAATGAGTTTTTGTGCAAATATGTAAATGATACTACCAAGGTAATCATGACTGGAGATTTTAATTTGCCCCATGTAAATTGGGCTCTTTTGACAGCTGGTGGCATTGATATCCTTAACGGAGAAAAAATAATTGACATAACGTTTAATCACAACCTTACCCAAATAGTCAAGGAATACACTAGAATCACCGACCAGTCTCAGTCAACATTAGACCTTGTCTTTATTACAGAAAACATATCGGATTACGAGATTTCAATTGTAGAAGGAATTTCAGACCATAAAATGATTTTGTTTACGATTCCACTACCACGACAGGGTCATTGCAGGGTTCCTAGGCCCCTAATTGTTAAAGACTTTACTCGCGCAGACGATACAAGTATTATAGATTACTTAGAGACATCCTTAGAAACATTAGACCAACTAAGCATTACAAGTACAGTAGATTATCTGTGGAATTTTTTTAAAACTACTACTTCCTTTTGTATTAATTCCTTTGTTCCCAATAAAACTAAAAAGACATATCGCACAAATCCCTGGATAACGCGTGAAATTATCCACCTAAAACGTCAAATCAAAAGGCACAGAAAAGGTTTTAGAGAACATATAAATGCTCTAAAAATTAAATTAAAAACATCACTCAAACAAGCCAAAGAGAGATTCTTTTCAGTGACTCTTCACAACTTTATAAAAACTGCCCCTCAGAAATTCTGGCGTTTCTTAAGAGGAAAGAGGGAAATGATCGAGCAGATTGTTGAAAACGATGTGGTCATTACTGACAGTGCAGAAATGGCAGATCGGTTTAACGTGTTTTTCCAATCAGTCTTTTCAGCCCACGACGTACAAAATCTCGATGAGGCCTTTCATTCTGATATTGAAACGAGTACGCCAGAAATAGAGATAAGCCAGTCCGGAATATTTGCTAAGCTATTGTCACTGGATACAAAAAAATCAACAGGCCCGGATAAAATACCGAATGAATTCTTAAAGCGATATGCAGAGTGGCTATCTTTTTATTTAAAAATTATCTTCGACAAATCATTACAAACGGAGTCACTCCCGCAAGATTGGCTATCCGCACGTGTCGTCCCTGTGTTTAAAGGAGGAAGCCGCTTTACGATAGAAAACTACCGGCCTATTTCATTGACCAGCGTTTGCTGTAAAGTGATGGAGCACGTCATTTCAAAATATATATTTACTTTTTTAGAGGAGCGAAAGACGTTATACTCTCATCAGCATGGCTTTCGAAATGGTTTGTCAACCGTAACGCAGCTTGTTGAAACGTTTCATGATTTTTCTTTATCTGTAAATAATAAGAAACAGATCGATGTAATTTGTATAGACTTTTCAAAAGCATTCGACCGCATACCTCACAAAAAATTATTATTCAAATTAAAAAAGATAGGGTTGTGTGATAAAATCGTTAACTGGATAGAAGCATACCTGTCAAATCGGAGTCAAAAAGTTGAGATAAATGGAAACATATCACCACCTCTATCTGTAACCTCAGGAGTCCCGCAGGGCTCAGTCTTAGGTCCATTATTGTTTTTGATATATATAAATGATATAGCTACGCATATTGCAGAACCAGTAAAACTAAAACTTTTTGCAGATGATTGCCTTCTTTACTCTGTCATAAACAATACTAATGATCAATTAGCTCTTAATAGGAACCTGGAAAATCTAAGGCAATGGTGTGAGGACTGGCAAATGCAAATAAATTTTCGTAAGTCGACATATATCCATATAACGAACAAAAAAAGCGTTTTGAAATTTTGTTATAATATAGGCAATGTTAATTTGAGTGTTGTAAACAGTTTTAAGTACCTTGGTGTGGTGATCTCACACGATTTGCAATGGCGCACCCATATAGATAATGTCTACTCCTCTGCCTATCGAAGTTTGTGCTTTCTTAAACGAAAGTTAAAACATGCAACTAGTAATGCCAAAATCACAGCTTATAAGACAATGATCCGTCCTATTTTAGAGTACGCCAGCATTGTATGGAGTCCAAACAAAAAAGTAGACATCAATAGACTAGGAAAAATTCAAAGGCAGGCTGCACTTTTCATTCTTAATAAATACAAACGAACAGACTCTGTGACTGAAATGCTTAGCCAGTGTGGACTTCAATCATTAGAAACTAGACGGAGAATAGCGCGGCTAAAGTTCTTATTTGCGTTGTATAACAATCACTTAAACATTGAACCTGAACTATATTTAAATGAAACACATAAACGATCGCGCAGATTAAATCACAATAAAACAATCCAACCGTATAATAGTAGGATAGACGTTTTTAAATATTCATTCTTTGTGCAAACAATTGAAGACTGGAACCAACTTCCAGATTATGTCATTAATTCTGCAAATATGTCCCAATTCGAGTCTTCTTTAGAAAAGATATTCACACAGCAATAAATAAGAAGGGCGTTTTTCCTTTTTTTCTATTTCACTTCTTTTTACAAAATGTGGCGATATGGTTCACGTTGTCTTCAATTAAAAATTGTATAACAGTCTTCTATTACGTACATATGTATAGAGTTCAAATTTTTGATATGACTATATATATTGTTGTTACCTCTCCTGTAATAGCCTTCAAGTGAAGGCTGACAGTATTCTTAAATAAATAAAAAAAATAAAAGTCATTTGGAACGAAATCCGCCATATAATTAGGAAATAAAATCAAAGTATCAAATTATAGTCATTCAAATTCAATCTGAGACATAACATTACAAATATCACGAAATGGTCACTAATGGTCATTAAAGTCTATCACAAATGGAACTACCTAATAAACAGCTGCTTGGTCTATATTCCCCGAAATAACTGAGGATATTGACCCAGAGCCATTAATAGCCCTTGGAAGCCAATCTAGTTTATACTAGTTCAAATAACTCAGAAATATAATCCAATAGTAATTGCAGTCATTAGAGATTAACCAGGCCCCCAAAACGACAGGTAAAACTGAACCGGACACTATTTCTACTGCTTTATAAATACTGTCTTCGTTAAACAGCCTGTGTGGCATTTACTGGCTGTAATAACTACGTCGTGTAGCATTTCCAGACTTATTGGAAGTGAATCTCATACAATTTAAAATAATGACCCATGGAGCAATTACATATTTGAATTGCTGTGCTTTATTTGTAACTGCAAAGAGCCAGTCACCGCAGCTAGTAACAGCCATAGCCTTTAGAGTGGTCCATAAACTGTCAATTTACTAGAAAGTCACTAATTGCCAGTAGGTCATTTGTACCAGGTGTAATAAATAGGTCTATATAATCTAAATACTTAGTGCTAATATGAAGCGTACATCATTATCAGAAATACCGTGTATCAGCTCTTGCTCAATTGAAATCGGCACACCGATTTGCCATATATTGTCACGGGTGGTGACCAATAAACAAGAAATAAACAGGAATAAATAAACGTTTAATGTGGCGAACTTGTGCCAAAAATAAAAGAGTACAAAAGATAATATTAGAGCGTCGCGGGCGTCGAAGTCGGCGTGGCAGCAGAGTCGAACGCTGGGGCGAGACTGACTCTGCTCGCCTTGCGGAATCCCTTATGTACCCTCGTGGGTTTCTGGATCGTTCGGCGTAGAAGGTTCGGCGCGTGGAACATTCTAACCTCGAATCAGCAAGACGGTTCTCGAATTCACCAGAACCTTACATTACAGTGTCAACAAAAATGCGCCTCCGCGGCCAGGAATCGAACCCTGGCTTTCAGCGTGGGAAGCAACCGCGATAACCGTTGGGCCACGCGCGCGCTGCCTGCTTGGCCAGTTGCGCGCGCGGCAATATTCACAATTCCTGATAGTGTGAAGAGAAGAAAGAGTGTAGTGAATGACGGTTTTCCTTTAAATTCGAGCTCATAGTTTACCATCCCACACCGAGAGATCGCAGCACTTCAGTGTCTCCTGACAGCCCCATGTATTTTGGCTCGAGTTTCCAGTATTGGTAGTCAATGGTATTTGTAAATCCGATCCTTTTTTAAGCGTGTAATTTGATGACTTTGATCGATCAATGTTCAAGTGTCCTGTCGTATGTATAGTTATTATGTCTGTTCGCCATCAGCTTATAATGTATCATGATTTATATAACAGTGCTTAATCATGCTCTCCATATCTCTGAATATGTGCGCTTATGTTGTGATAATCATAACTTTTTATTGAATCGTTTGAGTTGAATTTATTCCATTCTGAAATGTCATATTTTGAATTGTCGGTCTAATACATTTCGCTATTTTTGTGAACTGAGCTTATATCTTTCTTTTCTTCTCTTTTCTTTATACTTTGTGTTCTTTGTGAGCTGCTACTGTTGAGGATTGTAGGGAGGGGGCCGAGGACTCGTCAAGCTGCATTTATGCAGCTTCTTTCCTCGGTCTCCTTTCATTGTGAATCTGATTGAGAAATAAATTTACAATTAGTAGTAGTAGTAGTATTATTAGCTGCCGCTAGCAAAGCGAAGGTCGAGAGTACGGTGTACTAAACTCTCTAATATTCGAAAGCGACGACGCCGGCCACAACGCTCGACGCGGTTAGCGTGCGGGACCACAGCATTGTTTTCCCATTGTCCATCGCTGCTCGCCGAGGGAGCTAATCGGATCGCAGACGG